CTTTGTCTCTGACACAGCACTCTCAAAAAATGTTAGAAACCGGTGGCAACTCTTACCAGGTAGAACCATGTGGGAGGTCCTTATGCCACTGTGGAATTCCCTTGAAGAAAACTGGAGACATCAACTCCCCCTTCTGCTTTTTTAATTCCTGCTGATGACAGGGGCAGTCTCCTTCTACCACTTGATGCTGCCACAATGTTGCCCTTTTCACAGACCCTAAAGTTACAGGGCCATTGATCAGAGATTGAAATATCCAAAACTGAAGAAAATTAACCTCACATTTTATGATGGTTTGAATATGCTTGGCCTAGGGTGTGGCACTACTAGGAGGTGTGGCCTTGTTGGAGTGGGCGTGGCCTTGTTGGAGCAAGTATGTCATTGTGGGTGTGGGCTTTAAGACTCTCATCCTAACTGCTTGGAAGTCAGTCTTCTCTCAGCCTCCTTCTGAACAAGAGTTAGAACTCTCAGTTCCTCCAACACTGTGCCTGTCTGCATGCTGCCATGCTTCCCACCATAATGATAATGGACTGAACCTCTGAACCTGTAAGCCAGCCCCAATTAAATGTTGTCCTTTATAAGAGTTGCCTTGGTCATGGTGTCTGTTCAGGGCAGTAAAACCCTAACTAACTAAGACACCTCCTTATAAGTTAGTTGTCATGTGGACTCTCCCCATGGGACTCACACCAACAGCATCTCTGTTATCCTTCCTTGGACTTCTCTCCATTTACTACGTTGTTCCTCCTGCTTGGAATGTGCTCTCCTTTGTACATGGAAAGGCTGTCTGCTCATTTTCTTAAGGCAAGATGCAATTCCCCTCTCCTCTAGGAATCTGTTCTGGCTCTCCCAACGAACCCAGATTCTCTAGCCCCTTGTAGTTATCTGGTATTTAGCCTCTGTGATCTATACAATAGAGTACTTAGAGAGGTGTTTTTGATTTACTATGAGGGAAAAGTCAGATAACCCCCTCTTAAACTGAAAATACCAAAAAGTTAAGTCAAAAGACACATTAAGGCCACCTAGTCAAGCGCTGCTCCAGTAGCTCAGCCTAGCTGGACCCTGTAGAGTGTCAGCAGTTGCCTCTTGAGATCTCATGGCTTCCTGGATGTTATGGCCCTTTGCTGTCACACATTCTGCTGAGAAAGTGACTCCACATATCACTATCCTGGGAAAATATTTATAGAAAAAAAGAGTTCAAAGTTCAGTAATTCTTATTACTTTTGCACTCTCATGAAAATGAAAAATCCCAAACCAGGTATGAGTCACTCTTAGTATCAGACAGAACATAGTGTAACAAAACATGGCACCACTTAACTGAAGGATTCAACCTAGTAGAGTGGGTAAGGAAAAGTGATAAAGAGACATCAAGAACCCTGGAGATAGTGATACCAAGAAATCCTTGCTACCACTGGGCTTTAAGGGACAGGAGGATGGGATGAATTCCAAAACTCTGAGAGAAAGTGGACGGCTGTGGAAGAGGCCTGTGTAACAGGAGCTCATGTCTTCAGTTAAAGGCACACTCAGGCTGGAATGTAGCTTAGTGGTAAAACTGTCGCTGGACAGTACAAGCAAGGCTTTGGGTTTCATGCCTAGCATGTAGAAGAAATAACGGGGAAGATGACTACAAACTTGTGGTGGGATGTCTTGGGAGGAGTCAGAGATAGGTGGTTGACCTCATTGTCCTCCGGCCCTTCGATCTCTGGCTGGTAGTGTTTGCTTATCCAATCCACTGGTAACCAGTGGGTAAGACAGCCCTTGCTGCTGTCTTAGGCTTCTGCAATAGAGTGGTGGAAGAGTAGAGAGTGGGTTTGAGAGACAGAGATTTTCTTGAGTTTGTAACCGAGGTGTTTGTTAAAGGTGAATTTTTAGTCCTAGTCTGTTCTAGGAGCTTCTTGAAAGCTCAGACCGTGTCTTACATTTACATGGATTTTAATATCTCACAGTGTTTACTTCAATGAGAATGCATACACGTGTGTGTGTGTGTGTTTGTGTGTGTGGAGAGAGAGAGAGAGAGAGAGAGAGAGAGAGAGAGAGAGAGCGAGAGAGCGCTAGCTGTGATCTTCCATCTTTCAAACCCTGTGTTTGGAAGTCACAACAGGAAGCAGGTAAGAGCTGTAGGTCTGTGAGAAATGCTGTGAGACACTGTCTTCTGGAGATGCCATCGCACACGTGAACTCACAGGAGCTGTGACCAGTGCAAGATGAAGCCAAACAAGTCAGCATCCGAACAGACAGAGCTAGTTAGACTCGGTGGACTGTGGAAAACAAAAGCACAAAAATAAGAGGTCAAACAGAAGGAGTAGATGGAGGAAGAGGAGGAGTAGGAGGAGGGGGAGGAGGGGGAAGAAGAAGAGAAGGAGGAGGAGGAGTAGGAGGAGGGGGAGGAGGGGGAGGAAGAGAAGGAGGAAGAGGAGGAAGAGGAGGAGAGGGAGGAGGAAGAGAAGGAAGATGACTTGTTGGGGGTTGCTGGAGGCTGGGGGAGGGGTTGTGAGAGAGAGTTGGGATAGGGTGTGGGAGAGGGGAGTGGGCAGAGAGAGTTGGGGTGGATATGATCAATATATACTATTTGCATTATGAAATTGTCTAGAAAAAGGTATTTTATTTAAAGTTCACAAAACAAGACATATCATTTTCTTTTATTAAAGCAAATAATTTTGTTTCTTTATAAAAAAGTGTTCCTTTCCCCTTATTTTTAATCTATTAATATCATTAATTTGGAAATAGAGCTAGAATTTACCTGTACTATTACTATTCTTCTTACTTATGATTTTTTTATTAGAACGTACCTGCACTATTAGTATTCTTATTTATGATTTTTCTTATTTAATTTTGAAGCAATGGTGTTTGAAATACTGTGCAGATAATTTGATACTGAAATTGATATTTAAGAATAATATTTTTTTTTCGAACGTCAGTCGCATGGAGTTCTCAAGAAGCAAGATGGGAAGGAAATACTTGTTTAGAAAGAGAAAGGGCGGGGAGGGGTACGGGGGGGGGGCGCTGCCGGAGTTTCCTTGAATGTGCACAGGCTGTGAGGGGAGCCTGTGAGACCACCCCGAGAATCTCAGATACTTTGTAGCGGCGTAGCTGCTCCTTAGTAACCCCTGTTAGCTAATTCTGAGTGCTACTCCAGCCTTCCCGTGTGAGTCTGAACGTGATAAGCACAGGGAGGGCTTTCTTGCTCAGAGCAATTTAGGTCATGACATGAGCCGATTATTAGTATATTACCGTGACCCTACCTTCTTGTAAAAAAGAACCTCCGAAAGGAAGTAGTCCGTCTCTGTCTCTCTGTGTATCTCTGCCTGCCTGTTTTGTCTCTTCTCTCTGTCTCTGCCTCTCATTCTCTTCGAGGGTGGAGTGTGCCCTCCTCTTATTACTCTGTAGGCGCCCTAGAGGGTCACACAGTAATGTGGGCCGGCCCTCTTGGCATTTGGATAAAGCTGAGGTGATCTTTGTAGGAGGTTGCTATGACAATTTGCAAACAGCAGAGCCCATAGAACTCTGCAGGAGGTAGCTCCCTCTAGACTGAAGTCTGCTCTTGTTGGGGCCAGCACTCTCGGGGACCTGGAGACAGACACAAGAAACAGGACAGTAAAGACTGGACACAGGACTCCAGGAGCACTTCAGAAACTAGGCACCTCCCAGGAAGGAAGTGCACGCCTGGACGCGGTCCAACTTTCTTCCCTCTCTGCTGGGATTTTTTGAGCTTTCCCTCCACACCTGACTGTTCAAGTGGACAAAGGTGCACAAGCATAGGTGTACGACAAGGGAAGCAACATTTTTGTTCTTCCTGGGAAACAGAGGCTGTAGACCAAAAAATGAAAAGGGCGGGGAATTTCTCCACGTGTCTGGGAAGGGAAAGGGAAAAAAAAAGAATCTTTTCCTCCGAGGATGTGAGGATTCAGAGGTGTCGCACCGGTGCAGCAGAGGGCTGAAAGGAAGGTGTGTCTGTCTCGGTGGCTGTGCTGGGGGAAAGGCTTGGAGTTGTAAGGAAATGGGAGGTGTCTCTGATGTTTATTTTTGCCTAGCAACCCACAGCCAACTGCTACCTCAGCTGCGGTCCACAGGCGCCTGTCTGCCTCCCCTTGTCCTAGCGACTGGAGGGCAGCGGTCACTCGGTGTCAGTGAATCAGGGAGGGCGTGCGTGGCCGAGATGGAGGTGGGAGGGCAGCCCCTTCCTTCGTCCATGCTTGGGTCACCAGGCTCAGCCGCAGTCCCTCCTCGGGGCCTGACTTTCCGAGGTGACCCTCATACAACTAAGTTCTCTCCATGATAAACTGGGGAGAGGGGCTTGGCTGGGCCACTGGGACAGGGACAGGGACAGGGGCCGGGGGCCGGGGATGGGGGGCGGCAGTATTGTCTGGGAGCAGCCATTAGGAGCGGTGTTTAGGGCCGTGATGGGAGAGGGAGGGGTCTCTGCAGCAATTTCGGGAGGAGGCCGGCCGCGGTAGGTTGCGCGGTAGTGCCGGGAGGGGCGTCGCAGGGACGAGGGGGGACCCGGGGAGAGGGCAGATGGCCGCAGGGGAGGCGCAGGGCGAGCCGGAGCCGCAGTTTTCCTGGGAGCGGAGGGCGGCTCTGCGGAAGATCGGAGGGGGTGGGACTCCCGGGGTGGCGGGTGGGGGTGGGGTGGCCGCCAGCCTGTGTGGCTGGGGCCGGGGGAGTCCGGGGCGGGGCCTCGGCGGGGGGGCGGGGCCGGCCTTGTCGAGCGCGAGCCGCGGGGGCGAGCGTGTGTGCGAGTGTGCGCGGACGCGCGCGGGCCCGGGAGGAGGCTCCCCCGAGCGTGTGGGTCCCGGCGGCCGCAGCCCGCTCCCCCGCGGCCCCGATGTGAGGGAATCGGGGAGGCCAGCGGTGCGGCAGGGGGAGGGCGAGGCATGTGCACGGGTCGGGGGGTCCAGCAGCCGCCCGAGGACGAGGGGGACGGCGGCGGCGAGGAGGAGAGCGGGGGGCTCGCGGCGGCGGGTCCGGGCCGAGGGGATGCAGCGGACTGCGTGTGTCTGGCTGTAGCGGGAGCGAGGCAGCGACCAGGCGCGGGGGACCCGCGTGAGGGGCGACCAGGAGGCGGCGGCGGCGGCGGCGAGGCGTAGCGGCGGGACCGGCGGCGAGGGCAGCACTGCCATGCACGTTCCTCTCCCGCGGCCATGTTAACCAGGAAACCTTCGGCCGCCGCTCCCGCCGCCTACCCGACCGGTAAGGGCCCCGGGACCCTGTTGGCGACGCGGGACGCGGGCTGAACACGTTGGTGCCCCGGGGGATCCCTGAACCCGGTGGGTTGAGCGAGCGGCATCCGGAGCGCGACCCCGCCGCTGCGCCCTCTCGGTGGCTCGCCCTCCCCTCCCCCGGCCGGGCGACGTGGGCTCCGGAGCTCCGGCCCGGCGCTGCTCCCCGCCGGGTCGCGAACTTAACTTTGCAGCTGGCGGGTGCGCGCCGGAGAGCCGCGTCCCGACCCCCCTCGTTTCCCGCACGCCGCCGGCTTTTCCCGGGCCGGGTGTCTCCTTCCATCTTCTCCCTGGAAGAGGGGGTTCGCTGCCCACCGGGGCGGGGGTGGGGGTCCTGGGTGGCTCTCTTTCCCCCCCACCCTGACCCTCTTTTGTCTCCTCCCGCGCGTGGCTCCCAGGCCGAGGAGGGGACACCGCCGTTCGCCAGCTTCAGGCTTCCCCGGGGATCGGCGCGGGGGCTCCCCGAAGCGGAGTGGGGACCGGCCCGCCCTCCCCCATCGCCCTGCCGCCTCTCCGGGCCAGCAACGCTGCCACTACAGCCCACACGGTGAGACCTGGCTTCGGGAGGGCGCCAGGCAGACCCCTGGCTCGTTGGGTTCCGACTGTGGGAAGAGAGGGCCGAATCTCCACGCCCCTGGCAGGGGCCTGTCCTCGACGCCGCCCTCTGCAACTTGGGCGAGCCCCGAGCTGCTGCCACAAAGGAGATTCGTGGCGTGGGCCCCTCGCTTCCCTCTGGAGCTCGCCCACCCCAGTGCTCCTTTTCCTGGGAACTTCCTCCTTGCGTCCCCCTCCCCGTTTTTTCATCTCTGCTTCCTAGAGCTCCCTTCCCCCGACCCGGTAAACATCTACTCCCAACCCCAGGGGTAGTGGATATTTATAGAAGCGTATGTGTTAGGGGACAGCTAGGCTACCCTGCCCGGAAAATCGATCCCCCAAAGAGCCTCCGAGGCCTGGCTTCAGCCAGCAGGGAGCACCCGCCAATTGTCCCCCGCTTGTGTAAGCATGTTTTATGAGAGCTACAGGTTTGAGCACAGCAGAAATTGTAATTAACACTAACAAAAATAAGAGCTACAGCAGTAGTTAAAACAAAACAATCCACTCCTGTAGGATTCTCAACGTGGATATTGCTCAGAAGGAGAGGGCCAGCTTTGCTTTGAGGGTGGCAGGGGAAGGGCACCTGACAAGGGCTGTGGTCCCTTGAGGCCCTGGGGAGAAGGAGAGCGGAGCCTGGGACTGCTGGCTGCAGAGACTGGCAAGCTGGATTCGGCTTAAGCATGTACCTTTCTTCAGCTCCCAGCGATGGCCTTTGGATGGTAACCATGAGCCTAGAAGAGGTGTGCGCATGCAGAAGGTGATGGTTTCAAAGGTCTTTTTCCCAAAGGCTCTCTGGGAGTGTGAGATGGTTTCTGTGTGAGGTTGCTTGCAGGACATAGGATTTCTGTTGCCAAGTGTAAGTTACTTGAAAGCACCACCCATGATTTGTGGCCGGCAGGAAGCTTCTCTGGGGGTCATGTGCGGCTGAAACTTGTTTATCACAGGAGATGAGAAGACAGACTTTAGACTTTAGTTGTGCTGGAGATGTACAAGAGAGGTAGACAATTTCATAGACAAATTTTGTTACTCTTTCTGTTTTTCTCCGTTAGTATATCCTAGGGGCTGAGGATTCATTATGCAGGGATTAACTCATCTGGGTTGTATTGTTGCTGGGAAAAAGAGCCTGCAGGTAGTAGGGACATTATTACCACAAGGGCATTCTAGAAAGAAACATCATTGGTTTTAGAGGTTTGGATTTTGTGTGTGTGTGTGTGTGTGTGTTTTGGCTGGTTTAGAATCATCTGACAGTTTGGAAAATACAGCATCCATCTCCCCCACCCCCCACCCCCATGTGTTGGTGTGATCGTGTTACCTGTTGTGAACTGGAAAAGGAATAACTCAGTTTGCATCTGATTCCCAATTTTTGTAAGGATGGTCTTTGCCAGATCAGAATGTCTTTGTGATTGAGATATGTCATGGAACTGGGAGAAGGAAAAGTTGCCACTAACTAAACAGCCTGTGCGGCACCAGAAAGAAAAAGACATGAAGGTGATTTCGGGATAGATGCCTTCGCTGTGCTGTAGGCTGTGTGTGACGTGGCTGTTTTTAACTGAAGGGTGAATTTCAGTTGCTCTGCATCCTTGGATGCTCTGTTTTGAAAGTGAAGCCTTGTGTTTCAAATATCATTAGTTTTGACTTGGTTTGTGTAACGTTACAGGTTTCCCAGCTCAGGGACATTAAGGAGCACAGAGTTTACCTGACTCCTTTGTGTGTTTCCTGAGGATGCAGACTCCACAGGTTAACTGAGCTGTCAGGAGTCCATAGACAACTCAAATATGTCTTATCGACTCACACGCCCTCTGAGTCTTCATTTAATGTACTACGTGGGACTACTAGTTGTGGGAACCAGTATTAGCGTTATAAGTACTGGAACCTTTGCAGATTTAGAGTCCCAGGTCTTCCATAGTTTTGGAAGTGTTTATGTGTTTGTTTCCGGAGCAACTACACCTGGGAGAAACTGTGGAGGAATGACTGAGGGAGAAAGGTTAGTAAAAAAAATGAACGGAGCAGGCCCGTCTTCTCCCTTAAACATGTGACAGGATTATGAACTTTGGAATTTTCCATGGTAGTTGGCTTTCTATTTTTTTGTATGACTTTTATTGTATACTATAGCAATTTAGTTTAGGTCAGCTTGTCCTAAAAGGAAAACCAATAAGTATCTCAATTCTCATTGACTTTTTTTTTTTAAATAATAATATATGGGAGATGATAAAATATTTGAAATCTTTTCATTTCTATAAATTCCAAGATATTGGTATATATCTTTATAATTTTTAGTATTTAAATTATTCATCAATGATTTTTTTTTCAACTCCACAATTTTATTCCCACGCAGCATTTCTAAGATGATTTGGGGAGGCTTTAAAACACCCAGAAGTCTTAGCATGAAGAGCATCTGTTGCTTGCCATTTTGGTATCGAAAGAGAATGATAAAGTGCCAGACTTCTTAGCCTGTTGTCTGATAAAATTTTCAGTACTAAAATATTGTGTCTTCCGAGGAGGGCTTTATGGGTCTCCACTTTAACGCATGCATTTGTGGAGAGTTAAACCGTTACCTTGGTTTCAGCTTATATTGTTAAATGTGACACATTGTGCTACCTTAGCAAATAGGGCCAACGCAAGCTGACTTCAAGAGTCTGAGGTGAGAGGGAAGAATTTTCAGTGTCCACATGTTTATGATCTGGTCCTGGCATATCTGGCCTTTCTGGGTGCCCCTCTGCCAAGCCCCTCATGTGTCAGTTTTGTGCATTTGATTTTGGTGGTGATTTCAGGTTCCTGCCCAAAAGTCTTCTTCTTACAGGAACCTTCAAGTAAATATACTTTAACTCCTGGAATGTGTAAGGCTCTTGGGTGTTGTTAAGATGTCTGCCTCAGGTACTTTTTAACCAGCTGTCCTTTGCCTCGGAGGCCCAGTGAGATCTTGTGACTTGAGCCTCTTGGGATATTCCCCAACTCCCTCAGTGTTGATTTCATGTTTTCTTTTGAAGATGCAAACACCATCGCTGAAGAGTGACTCCAAGAGACATTTCTTGATGTGTGTGTTTCTAGTCGGGAGATGTTCATTGAATTCCCACTGCGTACCTGAGTTTATGTTGCTGAGGACTTAAGAAAAATAAGAGGTGACCCTCTCCCTGTAATTTCTCAGCAGCCAGATAGATGGATGTAATTTTTGTCAAACCAGAGTGAAATGAAGCAGTGAGCACACTGTGCGGGGAGGGGGAGATTTAATAGATTAGAGGACATGAGAGTATGGGCTTTGAAGAATGAGTAGGAGTTTATCATCTGAACAGCAGAAAGGAGATTCAAGCCAGCATCTCAAAAGGACAGAGGTCATAGCTGTCACCTGCTCAGTCCTATACCAAGTACTTTGCACATGCAACCTCTTTAAGCTCCCCAATAGCCCTAATGAGGTAGCTTGGGACCTTTTCACACACAAGGACACTGCGGTTCAGAGAGATTAAGTAAACAGGCCGGAGTTACACAGTAACTGGGGGAGCTGCATTCACTTCATGTGTGAAAAATCTCTGGGCTCTTAGAAAACTGCCTCCATCCACAAGAGACGGTGTGAAAATGCACAGGATCCCTGGGTCTTGGGAGTTCAGCCTTGTTCCTCTGAGATGGATAGATCAGACTGGAAGGGTTCAGGCCAGATGTCTTCTTAGTGCATGCGTTGGCTGTGGCGGCGGCATGTAGCCATAAGCAGGAGCAAGAACAGTCTCAGACAGACAGTGTGTACATGCCAAGTCTAGAGACACCGTGGAGAAAGACTTGAAGAGCTTAGGCTATGAAGCAGAGTGGGTCTGAGTCTGCCTGCCTATCCATCCGCCTCAGTTGTCCCAGTGAAAAAACAAGCAGTAACACAGAGACATGCAACTCTTTGAAAGGGCACGAAGGACTGGACACAGGAGGCTTCACGATAGTTTGGGAAGGGCGAAGATCCTGAGAGGGTTTCCCAGGTGTACACTGTCAGGGACTCCCAGGTATTCAGCCAGATTGATTATTTGGAAATTGGAAAGAGAAGGTTTTTTTTTTTTTAAGCTTTCGTCATTGGTGTTTATTTGTTTATTTTAAAGTTGAAGATTATGATAACAAAACATTTGGCTTTATAAAGAAGAGTTAGGAGTTCGTTTGAGTTGCCTGTGGGAGCGGAAACTCATTAGCAACCTCAGTGGAAGGGCTTGAGTCCAGGGAGGCACGGGGTAGGCGTGTCTGCAAGAGGGGCAGAGTAGGCCCCAGCCAATGAGGGGTGCCCCTGACTTCCCAGCTGTGTTCGCCGTTGACTAGGAAATTATAGGAGTGAAAAAGCAAGAGAATGGAAGTCTGGACCCACGTGTCAGCAAGGGGACATGGTTCCTGCAAAAAAGATGCCAAGAGAAGGCAGCTGGAGGGAGAGAGAGATGGTGGACCAACTTATGGGCAACCTCTTTACTTCTGGCCACTAAAATATTTGAAAGAATTTTTTTTTGGATCATACACAAAGTAATTATAATAACCTGAACTGGAGTAAATTCTCGATGCTCAAGAAGTGTTATGGTGCTAGCAGTTTAGGAATCTTTAAAATCCCAAGGTTGGTGTTACCCTTAATGTGCTTAATGAGTCGTCTAGCATAGGTCTAGATGGTGGGGGCGTAGATCTGAAGTAATCTCCCTCTGGCCCTGAGGACACAGATTTTAAACCTCGAGTCCTTTTCACTCCTAGTGCTTTAAAAACTACAGAGGAAAGAGGGCCCCGAGATGAGCGCAGCTTTGAAAGAAAAACAGTGCACAAACTGGGCACAGTGGAGCAGGGCAGCGCCTAGCACTTTAGAGGCAGGAGGTGGAAGCATTGGTTTCCCCTACCCCCAAGGCTAGCATTTGTCAGCAAGTTCTCGGCTAACTCTGGGGGTCTTCAAAACCTGGGAAAGTGAAGGAAAGGCCAAACAAGTTTGCATTACCTTTATATATGTGCAAAGCTTTTCTGATGTATTTTATGGACTGCCTTGCTTTTGAAGTTGAAAAAGATACCAATTCTCTTAGTAGAACATAGTCACCTTGGAGTATCATCGATGGGTTCGATCTAAGAAATCTGCTGAAAGTCTCTCTGGGAAATAAAAGTCTCGATTCTGTAAAGGCATAGTCCAAAGTACTGGCTTCCTTCTGTCTTGGAAGTAAGCAAAGAGTCTCACTCCATAGATGGTCATGACGCTTGCTGTTTGTCAGTTAAAAAAAAAAAATGAAGATCATGATCTGCTAGTGTGGAAGGTCGGGATTTCATTTTCTTCATTTTATAGCCCAGCTGCTTCCAAACCATTTCTTGAATTACCACGCTACCCTACAGGGTGCGCCTGTTCTTTCAGGAGTATGAATAACCCAAAACAGAGGACTTAGCACCGAGGAAATACAACTCACGTTATTTACTGTAAATTCCCAGTGGGCAGCATTCCCAGCACTTTGTACCTTGTCCCTTCCTGATACTGGTTGCATGAGTGAGGGAGATTATGGTGACAAGTTGATTCTTTGAAGTCTCAAGTAAGAATCCAGCAGCAGGCTGCTTGAAGGAGATCCCAAGCCGACCCAGGCTGGGAAAAGGAGGGCTCTTCCTTTGCCTTGTCAAGTTTTGTTTAGATGAGATTATTCCAGGATGGCATGTGTGCCAGAAATAGAAATTGCTACTTTGTATTTTGTGTTAGTTACAGTTTTCTTTGCTGTGAGCAGATACCTGTCAAGAACCAATTTAAATGAGGAAGGGTTTATTTGGGCTGGCAATTTAAGAAGGGCTATACTGTCAGGGTGGTGACGCACATGGTGGCAGAAACCTGTGGCAGCTGGGTCACACTGCCTCTGCAGGTGTGGCGAGAAGAGCCTGATAGTGCTTGGATCACTTTGCTTATCTAGTCAAACCACAGCCTGTGGAAAAGTGCGACCACATACAGATATAGATGTTGGATCTTCCCACTTCAACCCAATCTAGAAGCTCTTTAAGGGACATGCGCAGAGGTTTGTCTCTTAGGTGATTCTAGATCCTGCGACAGTAGCAGTCTCAACAGCCTGTAGAAATCCATGCATGGGTACCAAGCTGCTGTGGACCAGAGGCCCCAAACTGAATGGCAGTTGCTCAGATTATAAAGTCACCAACACCCAGAAACTAAACAACAGGTTGGACATTTGCAAGGGTAACCAGGGCACACGTTTCTACATGAGACTGTCGATAGAAGCCTATTTTGTTTGTTGCTATGTGTGTTCTCCTAGGTCAGTTATAACTTCCAGGGAAGAAGGAAACACAGTGTGTTTTGGGATGAGGTCTAGGTACGTAAGACAGCACTGGACAAATGTGATTCCCCATCCTCATGTAAATAAAGAACGCCTAAGTGGAGTGTTGAAGACCCTGTGGACTGGGTGTGGGCAGCAGGATAGATGGTACTTGTTTGTGCTTTACCTATTTCATTTCCAGATCAGATATGGCTCAAAACACCCACCGTGTGCCAGGCCTGTTATTAAACAGTAGATACAGGATGGTAACACAAACACTTGATCCTTGCTCCAGGAAAATGTACTCCCAGGACCCGGCTACGTAGGGGTGGCATTCCCGGGGCTGTCCTATGTTTCCTAGCCCCGCCCAGTATACTGTCTTGCCTATAACCAGCTTAGGCATTCCCTCTGCTGGTGTATGTTCATGGGACAGCTTAGGGAGACATCGCTTTCCATTTAGTACAACCAGTTTGTGGCTGTTTGTAAAGATGGGACTGGGTTAAGGGGTGGGGGGAAGGACACCTTTCTAAACATCGTCCTTGGAGAGATGAGCCCCTTCCGTTCTGCTTATGCTTCTTGTCTGCATTCCAGATTGGCGGCGGTAAGCACACCATGAATGACCACCTCCACATCAGCAGCCACAGCCACGGACAGATCCAGGTTCAGCAACTGTTCGAGGATAACAGTAACAAAAGGACAGTGCTCACAACCCAACCGAATGGGCTTACCACGGTCGGCAAGACAGGCTTGCCTGTGGTGCCGGAGCGGCAGCTGGAGAGCATTCACAGACGGCAGGGGAGTTCCACCTCTCTGAAGTCCATGGAAAGCATGGGGAAGGTAAAAGCCACCCCCATGACACCCGAACAAGCGATGAAGCAATACATGCAAAAACTCACAGCCTTCGAACACCATGAGATTTTTAGCTACCCTGAAATCTACTTCCTGGGTCCAAACGCAAAGAAACGCCAAGGCATGACCGGTGGACCCAACAACGGCGGTTATGACGACGACCAGGGATCGTATGTGCAGGTGCCCCATGATCATGTGGCTTACAGGTATGAGGTCCTCAAGGTCATTGGGAAGGGGAGCTTTGGGCAGGTGGTCAAGGCCTATGACCACAAAGTCCACCAGCACGTGGCCCTGAAGATGGTGCGGAACGAAAAGCGCTTCCACCGGCAGGCGGCCGAGGAGATCCGAATCTTGGAACACCTACGAAAGCAGGACAAGGACAACACCATGAACGTCATCCACATGCTGGAGAACTTCACCTTCCGCAACCACATCTGCATGACGTTTGAGTTGTTGAGCATGAACCTCTATGAGCTCATCAAGAAGAATAAGTTCCAGGGCTTCAGCCTGCCTCTGGTGCGCAAGTTTGCCCACTCGATTCTGCAATGTCTGGATGCTTTGCACAAGAACAGAATAATCCACTGTGACCTTAAGCCCGAGAACATTTTGTTAAAGCAGCAGGGTCGAAGCAGTATTAAAGTGATTGACTTTGGCTCCAGTTGTTACGAGCACCAGCGCGTCTACACGTACATCCAGTCACGCTTTTACCGGGCTCCGGAAGTGATCCTGGGAGCCAGGTATGGCATGCCCATTGACATGTGGAGCCTGGGTTGCATCCTCGCGGAGCTCCTGACAGGTTACCCCCTCTTGCCTGGGGAGGATGAAGGGGACCAGCTGGCTTGTATGATCGAGCTCTTGGGCATGCCCTCTCAAAAACTCCTGGATGCTTCCAAACGAGCCAAAAATTTCGTGAGCTCCAAGGGTTACCCCCGATATTGCACTGTTACGACTCTTTCAGATGGCTCTGTGGTCCTCAACGGAGGCCGATCCCGGAGAGGGAAACTGAGGGGTCCGCCAGAGAGCAGAGAGTGGGGGAACGCACTGAAGGGATGTGATGATCCTCTTTTTCTTGACTTCTTAAAACAGTGTTTGGAGTGGGATCCCGCGGTCCGCATGACCCCGGGCCAGGCTTTGCGGCATCCGTGGCTTAGGAGGCGCTTGCCAAAGCCTCCAACCGGGGAGAAGACAGCGGTGAAGAGGGTCACAGAGAGTACTGGTGCTATCACCTCCATTTCCAAGTTACCTCCACCTTCCAGCTCAGCTTCCAAGCTGAGGACTAATTTGGCACAGATGACAGATGCCAATGGGAATATTCAGCAGAGGACAGTGTTGCCGAAACTCGTTAGCTGAGCTCCAGTCCCCCGATGCTGGCAATCTGAAAAACCGCGTTATAGCTGAGCCTTACTGGGTTGAAAAAAGTGTAGCTCAGACCTGTTTTTATTTGCTCAATAACTCGACTCATTTGTATCTTTTCAGCACTTGATGTAAGACTGTTTTGTTTTTATAAAATACATGGGGACAATGCTTTAAGTTTTTATACTTTCTGAAACCGTTTTTGTTTTTCTTCCTTGTGTTCTAAATGTACGATGAGCCTTACTGTATTTCGTGTGGCAGAGTAATCACATCGGTGGCAGGCCATTGATTCTTCATGACTGCCACACATTTACAGATTGGTCAAACACATTCACTCTGTTTTCATGGTTGGTCCTACTCCCCGGGGAGGTGGTCCCCAGAGGCCCTCCTTCTCTCTCCAGGCTCCAGGTTCACAGGGAAGCAGCTCGTCTTGCCTCCGTTTTCCATAAATTAATCTGGGTCAGAGTGGAGGAGGAAGAAGAGGGGGTCGGGGTGAAAATCTCTAAGGAAAACTGCACTTTCGAAATTTTCTTTTCTTTCCTCACCGTCTGTTTAAATGATTACAAGACAGGATTGCCCTGCTTTCAACTGCCCACTTAACATTCTGATGTCCTTAAGCCACCGAGCGTTTAATGGATAAGTGGAAACGGAGATGTGTGAATTCCTCCCCAGGCTCTGGGATGGTGGCTGGGCTTGTCATAATCAGGAAGCCTTCTGGTTACGGAATTGCTTTTGCACCTGATTTTAAGGACCCCCCCCCCCCACCATGTTCCCTGCTACCTTTTCTCTTGATCGTTCCTCTTCCACCACACACACCTGTTGCCCGCGTTTAGTTTGTCTTTTTTTCCTTCCGCTGTCCATCCCAGACCGCTAACAGACATTTCAGTTGCCATTACGTCTACAGTTTCGTACCCCAGTTTTCCAAAAGAACAGCGGCCTAGCTACCTAAAGGTGGGAGTTTCCATAGTTCCAAAGAAGACTTAGCCGACCCACTGCAGTCAGCTCGACCCTCAGCCTGGGGAAGCATCAACTCTTTCGTTAGAAAGAAAAGAGGTTGAAAAGGGAGGAGAAATTCCACTCCAAGTTAAATGGTCTGACTTATTCTCTGATTCACTAGAAGAGCCACAGGGAAAAAAAACAAAACAAAAACCGATTCCTCTGTTTAGTTGACTTTCTTTTGAATCGCACTGACTGTTTTTTGTGGGGAATGATGCTTTACCTGAGAGAGTAACTGAGAGTTAGGTAAAAGAATATTTTCTTCTCTGAATAATAATTATTTTCACAGTGAAAATTTCAGTATTTTATCACTAATGTATGAACGGTGATATATATCAATTTCAAGGCACGTGGAAAGAATTTTTTTAGTATGTGCAATTTAATAGAGAAAGATTTCTGCCTGTTTGGACAATAGGTTTTGGATAGTAAAAATTAGGATAAATAATCTTTTATATGCACAGATATTATTGTATTGCCTGTAAATCGATTTACAAGTACTTAAAGCATGGTCCCCAGTGAGGCCAAGAAAGTTTCCGGTTACTTTTTTTTTTTTTTAATTCTATGTTTTCTCTTACTTAAAAAAAAAGGAAAAAAAAAGAAAAAGAAACAAATAGAAAGTGTCATTTTGAATAAAACATTTTTTTTTATCTTGAGACTTTGCCAGTTGATGGCAAAAAACTAATGCTCAGGAATTATTTCAAATATTTGCCAAAAAAAATCAGTAATAAGATTAGCTTATTAGTAAGTTAGTAATATCGCTGTTTGCTTTACTATTTAAGGATGGCATTGATAAATTAATTTGCACCCCTGTACTTAGCGAGTATAGCTTATTTTCCCCTAGTCAAATTCTTTAGCGTATTATACACAGTTCTGTGTAATCTGTGAAGTGCAATAATATGTCAGTAAGTTACAAAAGGATGCTCATGTGACAGTGCCCCCAACCAGTGGCTTATAGGGCTTAAAAATTGTGTATTTATTTTTTAAAATTTGGCTTAAAAGCATAAGAAGTATCAAGAGTTTGGTCTGCGGACTTCGTAAAGCTATAAGACTCTTAACGATGGTTCTTGTCTTTAGGTCATTAAAATAAATTTTTGAAAATGGAAGCTATTTCCCTTTCCCAGGCCCCTTTCCTCTGTTCTCACTTGGTTGCCGCAGGAGCCTGAGCCTGGCGTTACGAACTCCCCTAGAATGTCACTATACTTGCAACAGTTTAGTAGTGGACTGAAATGGCTTGTCTTTCCCCCATCACACAAAACTGATTGCTTGTAGACGCCAGCAGGATATTGGTGATGAGCTTTCCCTATACATGGAACCAGAAACTTTAAAACCAACTATCATATGCTACAAGGCTTTTTCTGTTCCTTCTCTTTTTCCCAACTACAGTGAAATCTCCTTTATTCATAAAAACCGTCTCAGCATTTACTGGTAACCTCTGCTTTGAGGAGAATCCTATTTAATTATTGTGTCTCAAATGAAACTGTTGCCTCTTCATCATCTTAACCTAAATAAAGGGCTCTGATAGGCTACTAGGAGTTGGCTTGGAAACCGTCCTTGGTCTCACAGGTTACCATTGTCTGGGGATGTCTGAGCTGTTTTCAGATTTAGGAATAGCACAGTGTCGTCTTGTCTTTGGTTGCAGTCTCACTTGGCTCTGTTTCTTGCACTACTAGAGTGTTCTTAGCACAACCGTGGAACACGGAGGGATTCGAGGCAGCGTAGATTAACATTGTAGAGGAGAACTTGTGCCCTTAGTGTTAATAATGTGCCTTTTGTTCCGAATGCCATGTTACGGGGCATGCATTTTTTGGCCTCTTTAACTCTTTGAACGAGAGGTAGTAAAGATGGAGGCCACCTCTGCAAAGATAACATCTGTCTTAAATATCTAGATTTCTAGGCCTTAATAGAAACCATAAGGCGTGAATCGTCATCGGGCGCTGAGCAAGATAACTATTGGCTAGCTACACCAGGAATTCCAGGTTTAAGAGGTTAAAGATGGTCTTTGTTGTATCTTAACATCAGACTGATTTTTTAAATGATACTTTTTTTTGTTATGCTAACACTAGACAAAAAAAATCAACTGTATTTGTAAAAATTTACCTCAAACCATTTAATTTTATAGTGTGATTAATCCCAGGGCATTTGGTATGAACCAAAGTGCATTCCTTTTTTTATGTGCCTGGCTCTAGTGAGGATGGCCAGGGATTTTTACAATTTGGGTGCATGGCATTTAAGCCACTTTTAAACTTACTGGGTGGTGTGGAGCCCTGTCAGGTGACTCCCTCAGAATGTTGGAAAACCACTTTAGGCATCAGTAGCATTGGGCCATATTGGAAAATCTTAAAAGCGTGAATTATTTTAAAGAACATTCATTTTTGTAATTTTTTTCATCAAGACTATTTCTGGTAAGCAAATTTTTTTTTTAATAATTAAAAAAAATCAACTGATTCGGTTGGTAAAGGTTTTAATATTGCCCAACATAATGCTGTGGTAGCATTTGAAGAAAAACAAAACAAAAGTATTTGTGGACTCTCTGTTTTTAGGGGCTTGTACATCTCTCTGCTATGGACATATATACGATACATTGTAATTATATCAGGCTCAACTGCTGCAGTTTGTCTAGGCCGGGGCTGGGTTTTTAATCGAGCAACACCTTAGACACGTGACTGTATTAATGCTGCAACTGTATGTACTGAAAATATGTGAAACGGTTGAATGTGGACTGTGTATATATGTATGTACAGATTTCTGTGAGATGCTGCTGTTGCCACTTAACATGGAAAGTGTTCTAGTGGGGTTTGAATCCTAGTGGCCAGTTCTATGATACTGTATGCATTGTACAGCCGGAGGCAGAAGTAAGACTGTTTAGTGAATATTTGTTAAATTTTATTGTTGTGGCCAGAGATAATTTCAGAATAAAATTTTAATGTCCTACCTTACTTCTCACCCCTTTTCTAACTATAATCTCACCCTGTTTCTGGTATGATTATTCCTGGTTTGTTAAACCTGGGGAGACTTTAGCATGTCAGGTAGCTTGAGATGATAAAACCGTCCGTTGTTTCTTCACTATAAATATGCAGATTCCGAGGGTTTTTTGTTTTTTAAATGAGGTTTTAGGAAGAAACCCTGCTAAATCAGAGCTCTTGAGATAATTCTGTTTCTCTTTGGTAATTTCGTGTTAGTTTTTCTTTATATGGTGTCTGCTACATCCCATAGCATACTAGAGCTTCCAATCCTTTAATCCTTCAGGCTTGAGGGAAGCAGGGTGCTCAGGTCTTCCCTGATAGTCCTCATTCTTCACTGTGTACACTTTAGGTCAGTTATCTGAAGATGTTCTCGAGTCTACCTTTCCAGAAACATGCACGCTTTTGCTATTTTTATCGATGGTGTTCTCCATGGTTCACATTTTGGGGTTTTGGTGTCTCCTGACATGGTTGGGTCAGGAAATAAGGCTGCGACTAACTCAAGATGTGTCGAGCTAGCCCACTTAACATGAACTCTAGTTTAATTGCCTATGCCAATAAGCAAGGTAGTAAGTATGTCAGACATTGCAGGGACATAATACTGTAGATGAGCATTTGCCTCAAGGTGAGAACTACCTCACGCTTTTGTTTGCATATCTCCTGATACCAACAGCTGAAGAATTCCGTGGTTTCCGGTTTCCTGGCTTCCGGCTTCCGGTGCCTTATCCATAGTCCGTAGCATCTGCTGAAAGGAGGGAGCATGAGATTCGTAAGCCCAGCTTTTGTCTTCATGTACAGTGCAAAAGTCTTCAGACTTGCCTTGCTTGCTGCTTACTCCACATCCAGTGTAAAAACACAACACACAATCAATCAACCACAGAGTGGACCAAACCAGAGCGAAACCAATGAACATGGTGTGTATGAAAACTAAGGTCTGACTCAGGAAAGTCCAGCTTCCACTCCTCTTACCAAATCTAAGTTTGTTCTTAAGTCAATGAAGGCTATATTCTCTCTGAGTCTCTAGAACTGATTACCTTTTGGAATCAGCAAGTATAAAAACAAGTATTCAGAAATAAGGGACTTCAAAGCTGCTTTCAAACCAGCCTTAGAGAACGCCCCTTGTTAGCCCCTTGTTAGTGCTGACTCGGGTCTTTCTGAGGAGGGAGGGCTTCGCTTGCTATTCTGATTCCAGAAAGGACTTTAGAAGGGACCCGAAACCACGGGTATCTGTGGCTTTGCTTCGTCTCCTTTGTTTCTTCTAGTTTGAATTACACCTCTTTTCCTCCAGACTTAACACAAATAAACACTTGTCACCAGTGGTACGTAAGTCCCTCCCCAAAGAAAATTTGACTACTGTGCTGTGTATACATGAGAGAATTGTGTCTTCACCCAAAGTGGTTGGTTTATTTGGTTTCCCTTTGACTTAACGGATCGGCTGTGGTTGCATCCTTAGAAACTGTGAGGGAGACAGGAATGGCTTTTTTTTTTTCCTGCGTCTCAGGGAAGTTTAGTAAATCAAGACTGAGTGGTGGGTCTTCTGCAGCGTTAGCTGTGGTAAGGACTCGCAGAGATGCAATTGTATCATGTTTGGCAGAGTACTGAAGCATCTCTCCCTACAAAGGGGAGAAAGCTCCCTGCAGATTCCAGTGTCACACGAGTGTCCTTCATCCTCACATACTCCTCTGAGCTATAATTATCCCCGGCTGAGCCTGAGGAAAATGAAACGAATGATACCAAAGAGACTTTGTAAAAACAGAGGGAGAAGACTAGAAAGAAGGAAGCTTTGCTGGCTTCCAATTTCTGAGAATGTCTTTTCAGTTGAGAAACCACAAAAATATTGAAGACTAGAACATTTTAGTCTCTTTAGCTCTACCTGTAAATTTAGACGCAGCGGTACACACACCCCTTAATTCACAGAAGCGAGGCATGGGGTCATCTGTGGGGCGAGTCACGGTAGCCCTGTTCATTATTTCCTGTGGTCTTAAACTTTTTTTCCCCCTTTCTTACACTCGAATGTATGAAAATATTTTTGACACGTTAATTCTCGGGGGCCTAAAAGTTAAAATTTACTGGTTGTTAGCAGTAGATAAATCTCTTCAATTAAGATTTACTCAGGTTTTCTACTCTTTGCCTCCATATTTAAGTTGATATAGATTACTTCCCAGGGAGATATATATATATATATATATATATATATATATATATATATATATGGATACGTATATAGATATAGATATATATTTCAGATAGTTTTAAAATACCAAATTGTAAATAAACTAGTTTTTACAAACTAAAAAAAACGTGTCTTTCCTTGCTTTCTATAACAGGTTACTTATCTCCTACATTTGAGGAATTTTAAATATCGAGATCCATTTATTCACTGGTAGCAACAAAGTATTCTTTATAAAACCAAAGCCCATGAAATAGATCATTTAATAAAAATTTTAAGTTTTCGGTTGTTTTCGGGAACACTGTGTAACTGTTTATAAGCAGTTTATCTAGACTTTTAGTAAATAAGCATATGAATAAAATTTCATATGCTAATTTGTGATCCTTTTCCCCAGAAGGCATTACCTCACTTATTTCCCCCTTTCTTTAGGATTAGAATTACTGGGCTTTTGTCCTGATCATGCTTACATTTAAGAAGAAAGACACTGAAGTCATAGGATCCTTTTAACATCTGTTGCAGACCACATTCGTCTGCCAAGTCCTTACTGAATGCCTACATGTAAAGTTGGATCCCAGGCACTAGAAATAGAAAACGCTGAACAAAATAAACACAGATCCTGTCTTTGGGGAATTTTTAGATTGATCGAGAAGGCAAACATGATTGAATGAACAAAGAATGGCTAACCCAACCAAAGTGTGAAGGAGACACACATGGCAGTGAGCATGCGTAGGATGCAGATGGCAGCGAGCATGCGTAAGACGCAGCGGGCATGCTGTGTTGTATAGGTCATGGGCGGCTTCTCTAGGAAATAGCTTTTTTTCTGAGGAAGAGCAGGGTGGTGACATGAAGCTGAGCCAGCAGCCAAAGGATGGTCCCCGTGGAGCCCAGAGAGTGAGGAACTTGGTGTGACACGAAGCTGCTATGCTTGTGTGCCAGACCAGGCCAAGCAAGCCCTGTCTGTGGGTGATGTTCAAGGTTTTGTGTCCTTTGAAAATATTTTTGACACATTAATTCTCAGGGGACTAAAAGTTAAAATTCACTGATTGTTAGCAGTAGATAAATCCCTTCAATTAAGATTTCCTCAGGTTTTCTACCCTTTGCCTCCATATTTAAGTTAATATAGAAAGGAAGTGACTGAGGGAGTTTCAGGAGAAGAAAATGCCATAAGGAAATTGGCTCTCCTCGGCTGTCTGTAGAAGACTGAAGAACCGTCGATGAAGAAAGGCCACTTGTAAGGGTCCATAGGAAACGGCATGGGTGGAGGTGGGGCTAGGGGTGGCGGTATTTGAAGAAGATAGATGGGGATGCAGGATATGAAAATAGAATTAGCAGGTGTTGGCACGTGAGAAATCGCTGTAGCTATTTTGAGTTTGCTTCATGAACTCAAAGGCAATTGTGATACCCTGCTTGTTCAAAGGGAATCAAGGATGAATGTGTTTGGTTCAAGTGTGAAGTATGGCTGAACTAGACTTTGCTGAAGACTTGTGGAATCCTTTGAGTGAAGTCCCACTTACTCATCTTGAAGCAACTTTCAGCTATAAAGAGATCTTTGGACAGACACACACACACACACACACACACACACACAGACACACACAGGCGTAGGGTATGTTTGTAAAGGCCAGCTAAACCCAGTTCCCCCAACCAAACATAATCTCCCTGGCTAGACTGTTCTCCTACCCTTTGCTCCTCTCATAGAGATGGAGCATCTCAGAGATGGAAGGTAATATTCCTCTTCTACCTGCAGGGTCCATGTTTCCTGAGTATCTAAAGCTGTTGAGAACACTGACTGCTATATTTATATAAAGTAAGTTCGGAAAGAGATGACAAACCGCTAATGGTGAACGAGAACAACACAGAGAGGATGGATGATAGACTGATCGGGATCCGTACTTCGGCTGTTTGAAGCCATCATTGCAAAAATCAATGTGACTTGAACACAAGCCTTGCAAGTCTGTGAAAACTGACCTGATAACCAAGGCGGCTACATGTGAAGGGTGTTTAATGTGTAGAGCATGTATACCTGGGACATATGGGATGAATCAATGGCCCGGGTGGTATAGTATGAGATTCTACTCAGAGTGGCGTACAGTTTAAAAAAAATTTTAATAACTTATTTCTTAAATCTGTCATTTAATATTTTCAGACCGTCGTGGACATCCGGTAACTGAAATAATGGAAAGAGAAATTTCAGTTGAGGTCTGATAAAGGCACTTGAAAGGATAGAACATGGTAGTTGTACTTACTGCGCTTGGTTTATCAAAACAACAATAATAACGCGGGCCAGGAGGATTTTGTGTTGCTTTAGAAGCTCCTTTGTGTTGGTACTGAATAAACAGCTTCCAAGGAGGCGTTTCCAGCCAGGTCTCAGTGGAATTCAGATGGGTACAGAGCTAAGGGTCAATCTGAGAGAAGAGAGAATTGTTCTCACAGAGGTGTATACGGTTCGTTCATCATACAACACGTGCGGACTACAGTGTAATTTAGGCCTAGCCTAGGCAGAGGGAGGGAGGGAAACACACCTCTTGGGAAGGTGCATAGCATCATGACAGGGTGTCCTCAGCTGCACTGTATCCCACGCATTCCACAGCTGCTGTGTGGCTGGCTGGAAAGCACGAAATTGGGCAAGGTGGTACTGTCCTGAAGCCTACAGTGGTGCTTCCCTCTGCCCGGGAAGATCTCACTGCACTGTATGGTTAGTGGCACTGAGAGGAGAGAGGCAGCAGCATCTCTCCTGACATTTCTTCCCATCCGACATTCTGGGCAACACAGCACAAGGGGTCTCTGGAGATTATATTTTAGTCTT